AAACAACCAGGCCCTTGCATATCTCAAATTTGATTTATAATTATCGCTATTTCTATTATATGCTTGCATTAAGCAATAAAATATCAATATTCGACATGTTTATGGATTTTCAAACACTACAATTTAGTCAGTATTCTTAACGCATGCTGCACGTACATTTCGGAAGATTCAGGCTTCAGAATGTGTTCCTTCGAAGTGTAATGTGGCTGTCACCTATGTCAAATGTCATTGTCCATAAGTTGAAATACTTTATATTTAGATTTATTATAGGTAAATTACAGCCACATTACACTTTGTGACAGCCATATTACACTTTGAAAACTTCCTCAAAACTTGCATGCAAAATTTGGCAATATTTACCATTTTTGAAAATTGTGTAACTCAACTCGTAATAAACGTGGAAGAAAATGCATTTAATAATGCGATTCTACATTGGTTGATTTCAAAAGGGCAGGTCGGTTGCTGTTCAGTTTCAGTTCGGTTCCAGTTCCAGTTCACTCACAGTTACAGCTGGGTTTTTCGTTCGAGAATAGTCGAAATGTGCCATTCGAACCCAAGTCAGACTGCAGCTGCGAGAGTCTGTGTTGGCGCCCCGTCCAATCTTAGTCAGACTTCAGTCTGACCAGAGTGTGACTATGGTTCCAATAAATTAGCATGTCTGAAGCCTCTCTTCTGTCATGGCGCCTGGAGAACTCAAATTTGACCTACCCTTAGGCAATTGTCTGGAGGGGAAGGGCAAGCTAATAAATACATATCTGTCTTGATTTCTTCTTCTTCTGAGTTGAAGTTGGTGCTGCTTGCTTTTCCTTGTCATGTCACGGTGGAACGAGGATGATACATGGCTTGCCTTTGCCATTCGCAAATCGTGGCTATGAAACATCCCGCATGTGATTAAGGCTTAAAGCGGCGACGTATGCAGCAGAACACATGCCCCGCGACGAACGGAATCATGAATATGACACCGATCTGTGGCTGGCGTCGAACCGTTTCAATTCATTTATATCAATAACGGACCAGGAAGTTATGAATGGGCCAACGAGATGTCGGGCTACAACTGACTGCAGTTGAACAGAGAAGTAACCGAGGCGAGAGGCTACTGCAGTCTGAATATAGTCAAATTGCAAACAGGAACTGGAGAATTTAAAAATCTCAGTCCGTTCGAAGTCCAGTCGTAGTTCCAGTCGACTGCAACTGCAACCAAACTGGGACCATCTTCGGACTATAGTTCAACTGCAACTGAACTGCGGCTTTGAAATCAACCATTGTCTCAGCTTTAACTAGAGTCCAAAAACGCTTTTCTAGCTCGATTATGACCAAAGATAGCGCTTTAGCCCCAAAGGTCACTTTTCCACTTGGGGGCTAAGTTTGGGGTCGCATATCTCGAAAACTGTTAGAGCCAGAGAGCCAACATTTTAAAAATTTATTTAATAAGTCTATGATGTCAACATGCCCTAATTTTCTAAAGTAAATCGGAGTCTGAAGCGCAACCACCCCTTGAGCTGGAATGCCTCTGCTATGGTAACATATGCTCAAGATGCAGGCTATTTTCATTTTTGACAGTCGAAAACCATTTTTATGGAGGATTTTGAGCTTTTAAGTTAACTCTGAGTTGAGGGTCGAGCAACCATGAACCATCCTGATTCTCAACCTGATCGGGAATGCACAAGCTCTTTCTGGGTTGGGGTGTCATGTCTATGATAAGAACTGCCATTTCCGTTCCAGTCTCAGTCGTTCACCAATCCATCGTTGATTTATGGAGGCTACACATGGCCGCGTGGACATGGTTACGGGCCCGTATTCGTGTAATGGCAGATCTGGCAATGCCACGTCGTAATCTCCTGCCACCTCCTTACCTCTCCCAACCAGTCAAACCTCTTCACAGTCGTAGATTGGCGGTCCACGAATGGAATGAGATTCCCCAGTTTCTTTTCTTCGGATGACGTGACCAGCCTCAAGCTGTATGATATAATACTGCGCCAACGCTTGGATTTACCCATGCAGCTGATGTACGAGGGATGTTTCACTTCCGCCGGGACTTGGCTATAAAATGATTCCAAACAATTTTTCAAACATTTTTCTCTTATTCTTCAACTCTTTCCACACTTTCTCAACATAGTCACCGCCAATTGCAACACATTTTTCAGCCCAGCGGACCCCATTTTTGAAAACACTCCAAAAACGCCGATTTTGGAATCAATTTCAACTGTTCCCTCACTCCAGCAATCAGTTCCTCTCGAGTTTCAAAGTTCACTCCACGCAGGAGTTCTTACAGTTTTGGGAATAACCAAAAATCGCATGGGGCAAGGTCTGGTGAGTAGGGGGGAGGCTTCAAAACCTTGACACCCGATTGAGCAAGAAATGCCACTGTGATGTTGGCTGTGTGGGCTGGAGCGTTGTCATGATGAAGCCACTGACTTCTGAGGGTTTTGAGGCGACCTCTGACCATAGCTGCAAAAACTTCAGGTAAGCAAGTCTGTGTGTACCACGCAGCAGTCACTGTTTGTTTGTCCTCAAGCACAATGTCAGCCACCATTCCTTCAGAGTTGAAAAACATCGCAAACATTGTCCTCTTGGTTGAGCGGATGCGTCTGGCTTTCAAGGGCGGAGGGCCACCTTTTTTGGACCAAATCATTGACTGGGCCTTGGTTTCAGGGTCGAGATTGTAGAACCAACATTCATCACCCGTGGTGATGCGCTTGAAGCCAGGGGAACGTCCATGATCAAATGTTTCCATGAATTCCTTGCACCAGTCCACACGACTTTTCTTTTGCTCGTCTGTCAGCAACCTTGGTACCCAGCGGGCTGATTTCTTGCTGAAGCCCAAATCCTGATGGATGATCCTATGAAGACTTGCACAGGGAATTCCCAGCTCCATCTCCATCTTCCTGATGGTCACACGACCATCATTTTCCAGGAATTCACGAACTTTGTCAACATTCTCTGGGTCTCTTGAAGTCCTAGGCCTTGGTTCACGATGTTCGTCGTCACAGCTGAAATGACCACTGCCAAATCGCCGAAACCAGTTTGTGACAGTAGTCTTAGAAGGAGCATCATCGCCATAAGTTTCTTTCAGCTCCAGCAAACTGTCAACAGCCCGAAAGCCACGCCGAAAGTGATGCAACATGATCACACGAAAGTCACGCGCTAGCGGCACTGGTGGATTACTCTGTGGCGCGCGCATCGGCTCGCTTCTCATCTCCATCCTGGAAAGACTAGGAGGGGAAAAATTATGAAAAAAATGTGGAAACACCCTGAAGAATCACTCTATCGAGGCAGCATGGTTTGTACTTGCTGAAAGCACACAAATGATTGAAGTCCCGGCGGAAGTGAAACATCCCTCGTATGTGTAGATCAGTGTTTCCCAAACGGTGTGCCACCAGTAAGGCTTAAGTGTGCCGTGAGATTTCAGATTTGACAAAAAAAGACTAAAAAAACTTAAAAACAAGAGGGAACGTCATCTCTCAGTGGAAAACGAGCTGAGAGTTGCTCTATCACGCCTCGTATCAAACTACTGTGTACAGCGAAGCAAGCACAAGTTTCCCATCTAAGTAAATAAATGTAAATAAAGTAAGTAAATGGCTGGGCGTGCCGTGGAAAGTTCAAGTGTCCTTATGTGTGCCGCAAATAAAAAAAAGATTGGGAACCACTGATGTAGATCATAACTTCCAGTTTCTCCCGAGTACTGGCAGTGTCCTCTTAGCATTGTGCACTAGCAAGTGATTTGATTTAATTCTCCAATGATCCGTTTCTCCGAATCATGCATAATTTTGTGGGGATGGAAAAAATGTAAAAGCAGTTTTTCCCATGGCTTTTGTCCTATCATGTCAGCCGGTGTTTCAATCTAACTTCACACGATTCGATTTCTCTCGGCTTCGGAAAGTTTTTCGACTGAACTGGCATTTTGAGTGTTCATCTTTTAGGGTGGATCTTTGAACAGAGAACTATCCGATGATGCAGCTTTATTTTCAGGAAATATATCGTATTTCCCTGAAATAAAGCTGCATTATTGGATATTCCTCAGTTAAAAAATCCAGCCTTAGTTGTTCAATTCCTCATTCCATTATGGTCTATTTTGCTGCTCCATTCTGGTTAAGTTTTATTTCATAGTCTTGCTATAACAATTTGAAAAGCCAGAGAGGGGTGCAATTGTTTCAACCAAAAAACCTAGTTTTTCCTCCACTGAAGACAATTATTGTATAGATTTTCAAAACGCAAGAGTTCATATCATGATCTGCAGAATGTATTTTTAAACATTTTATTAGCCTGCTAATGAAGATGTTTCTCATGAGATAGAGAACAAAGAGTAGTGCTACCTGAGACTTAAACCCCATACTAAGTAATGAGTTTATTCTTTCAAAAATTAACATATTGCTCTAGAGCAGTGGTGCCCAACCTTTTTGGCTAGGGGGCCACATAGCTCACTCCCGCAGCCATCGTGAGCCAGTCACTAGTATTGTAGGAGACTATTTTAAGGAAACCTAAGGGTATTTATTGTGGGTTAGGGCTTCGCAGGCCACTTTTTGCCTGTGGGTTGGGCACCACTGCTCTAGAGCAAATATACTTTTTTTTTCTACTTCCATCTCCCAAGTATGTTGCCTCCATCCATATAAAAGTTTTTTTTTTTTTTAGGGGGGGGCAGGCTAGGAAAACCCTTGTGAACCTGTGAATGAGGTTTGCGGGAACGGTGACTCGCGGACGGGCGGCCCATTTAGTTCGCTAGCATATCCTTCCTGGGAAATTCCAAACTGTCGCCTCAGGTTTGCGGGAAAAATATATATTTTTCCTACACATGATGGAAAGGGTGAGAAAAGAGGTAATACACAGATGCCCTTGCTAGGCAAGTACCTAAAACTGCACCTGAATAAGAGCAAAAAAATTACAGAATGATATGGAAAGTAGTGGAATCTCTGGAGAATGTAAATCTTGATGCATGTATGGTCTTTTCAATGGACATATGGATAGAGAAAGAAAAAAGTTCATATGTAGGAAAATATATATCACTTTTCTTCCTTATTTATTCAATATTGCCAACAGATCAATGAGAAGTCTCAGCAGTGCCATGAAGAGGAGGCTTGTGCTTGTGCCTAGAGTAGATTTTATCAGAAATTATGCTGTGCTTCTCCCTCAAATGCTTGCGAAGGGAGAAGGCAGTGGAGTACTGAGCATTGCAATGCTTGCAATTAAATGTGTTCTGACCTTGATGCCGCCTTTCATGATCCAGAAGGTGACTGGATGTACGAAACATCAGTCCACAAACAGTGCATATGAATGGACGATCATCTGAATGAATTCTACCCAAAAAGGGAAAAAAAAAACTCATAAATACAAAAATGCCAAAAAGGTAATAGAATTGAATTGTTCAACATATTTGCATCTGATTGTATTTATGCTCACCTGAGATGTTTCTTGAGATCATCCTGCTTAAAAAATACCTTGCCACATTCCTCACATGAATATCGCTTCTCCTTAAGGTGTTCTCTGCTCAAGTGGTCCTGAGGATGAAAGTTGGGCAAGGAAAGGAGATTCATTCAATTATTTGTAACAGAATTTAAGTGAATTGAGCAGTAACTAAGCTAAAGCCTTAATTTATACATACTGTAAAGTTTATATTTGTCAAAATTGGTTATAATAAAAAAAGTCTTCATTATGAAAATTAGACATATGTTACCTTGAGAGTATGCTTATGAAGATATGCCTTGTGACACACAGGACAGACATAGAAGTCATCTTGCTTTCGGGACTCATGAGTTGCATGAATGTGTCTTTGAAGCAGCTGGCGGTATGAGAATGATTTACCACACTGAGAGCAAGAGAAAGGACGGAGGGATGGATCATGTGTCCCAAGGTGTCTCTCAAGAAAACATGGCTTGCTGAATGGCTTGTTACACACAAGACAAACATGCTGCTGGTGACACACACGTCCAACAACTCGCTCAATTGCCTCATCCACATGTTGCAGTATCTCTACTGTTTCTCTCTTCTCCACTGGTCCATCCACTTGATAGCATGAATCTTTATCTGGTTCATGTTGGGTAGGCAGGCAGAGTTGGGGGAGATCTATATTCAAGTAAGTGCCATCTTGCTTCAAATTTGTGAGATCAAAGTCTGATAAGAAGGCTCCCATATCCTGTGGGGAGAGGGGGAAGTTATTTTCCACCAGATCACTCCAAACAAGTTCCTGTTGAAAGTTCTCTGGCCCTGAAAAACAACAAAACTTTCTCTAAACAAGTTTTGGACAACATTTGGTGAAAAGTGAAGGTCACAGTGTAAACATACCTGGAGAAGTAGGATTCAAGCTACAATTATGTGACTTGGCCTCCTCAACTGAGCCAAATAACTTGTGACATGCTCTGCATGTTAGGTCTCTAGTTATCTGGTGCTGGTCTTCATGCATTGTTAACTCTCTCCGAGCAACAAACAGCTTCCCACAGATGTAGCAAACAAATTCTCGCTTTTTTCTCCCTGCAGGGGGTATCTAGAGTAAACAAATCAAAGAAAAGGCTGGATTATGACAAGTTAAAATTATACTGCAAGTTGCACAAGACAGAATGTGCCTGTCTGTAAAGTCTGTTACAATAGAATTGCCCCCCCCCGTATCAGAAATCATATTTCTTGCAGCTTAATGAATTATTGCCAGTGAACGCAGGAAGGAATTCACTCAATTGCAAAAGTGATAATTTAAATTCAAATAGCATTGACTAAGAGGTCAAAATCTGCTTCAAGTTGCCATAATGTTGAAAGTTGCAACACTTCATGGTACTTTTAAGTTGTAATCTGCACCTAATTTCAATTTTACATGTCGTGCATGCACAGAAACATATTTTTATTATATGCTGATCCCATAGTCTTCAATATAATAGTTTAAATAGAAGCAGAGGCACAACTTGTGGAGGATGAAATTAATGACAAGTAAGGGAGTTGCCCAGACCCAGTTGCTCCAAAATATATCTAACTTTGCACCTTTGGGCAAGTAAACTCACTATGAATGCACTTTCGACACTAAGCTCGAATAAAATTTCTGATGGATTTTAAACATCTGTTTTGTATTCTCACATCTACGAATATGGTAAAACTCCTTGAGCCATATGCATTGTGGCCTCGAGTTACTTCTGGTGGCATGAAATAAAAATTTTCCACTTTCAATATTTGCCCACTTCCATGGAACTAAAAAATTTGTTTCAAATATGTCCCTCTCAAAAACTGCCCTGAGGGGATGAACCTGAAAGTTAAAAATACCATGAAATTAGAATGTGGCAAACTACTAGAGTAGTGAATTTGACCTTTTTCTATTTCCATTTTTCTCTGTGCAAAAAATGTTGAGAAATTATTACCCACCAAAAGATATGCCCTGAGGGCATATACCTCAAAATAGTATTTTTCCTGAAATCAAAACCCCAAGAACAACTTCATTTCCAAATATTAGTTGTTTATTTTTGCTCATCTCACTGCAGTGAAAATGTCTTTGGGAAAAGGCCCCAAACAAAATTTTTGCCCAGAGGGTAGGAACATCAAAATTGAGTTTTCCTATCTGCATGATGGTGCTGAATGCCAATAGAGGGCACTGTTCTTGACTGGAGGGCCCCCAATCTTCATACTGCACTACTTTTTAGGTAGGAAAGAAAGCCTGCAAGATTTTTTATTTTTATTTTTTGAACTTTACATGAGCCTCTCTGCCAAATATCAGTTGTATCTGAGTGCCCTTTTAAAATATTTGGTCTTGAATCAAATTTAAAAAACATGAATTTAGTCAAAATCAGTTTAAGGCTAAACCAGGCAAACTAATTGAATTTTGAGATAATGGAGCAAAGACCATTACTGAATTTGAGGTGTAATGATCTACCTGTAAACTTTGTACACTGTTTCGGATTGAATTGGTACCCCCCCCCTACTCCATCAAGTACAGGCAGGACACCTTGTGGCTCCTTCCACTTCATAATCGTCTTGGTAGGTTGTTGGTACACCTCGTAGTCCGAACTGTAGAACTCCTAGCAGACCTTTCGAACACAAAAGAGGCAAGAGAACAGTAGGGGGGTACCAATTCAATCCAAAAACAGTGTAACAGGACAATGCAAAGCTTAAAGAATAGTTCTGTGAAAAACCCAGATGATCTTCTCAACACCTTGTATATGTCCAATATCAAGAGTATATGTATCTTATAATGTGGCTTAAATATATAAATCTTATTTTCTCCCATAGAAAACTGTGGAGCATTTATTTTGAACCATCCTATATATTAGACACCCCAGAAACAACTCATGAAATTCTAAGCATGATCTGCTTCACTTAGTGGACAACCAGCCACTTAACCTTGAAAATATGGCTAATGGGCAATGTACCAGTCCAGGACTAGATCCATGCTTCCTCTTCACGTGATTCTTGAGACGAATTCTGTTCTCAAATGTTTCTTCACACAGGGAACACTGATGCATCTTCTTCCCTTCATGCATGTCGAGATGGTATCGAAGGCTCCCAATCTGAGTGAAGCGCTTACCACAAGTCTGACAGATGAAGGGCTTGATGCCTAGATATAATACACTGTGCGTCAATTGAAGTGAATATTTTAATTTTATTTTTAAAATGTTGATCGTTTGCCTGGCATTTGCTGAGCAGTAAGCTTCAGACCTAGCCAAAGGCTAGTTTAAAACTCAGATTTTTCCTATTGGAATGTTTTGTTCAAAATAATAGAAGGCTACGTATGCATACCCAAGTGAATGTTTCGATGCTTGTTCAGATTCGAGATGTGGGAGAACTGTCGTCCACACATTTCACATGTATATTTCAGTCTAGGCTCAAGAACCTCTGCTGGCAGTTTTTCCATCGCCAACGACAGATCCCTGTAATTGCAAGCCTGGCTATGCTGAAACCACTTCGAGGAAAATGCTGCTCATCCCTATATGCAGAGCTTGATCCCTGCCAACAGGTAGAACAGTGAGCTCCAGGTCGCTGCCATGTTGGTCTTGATGACGTCATTCGCATGGACTGCACCGCAAGGTGATATGGCGGCCTCGAAGAGAGGGGAAGGTATAGTTCTCTGCGGTCATCTTCATTTAGCCCTCTCTCGTGTCGGCGGTCTTATATGGTCTTGCCTATGAGATTAAAACTTTTAGTTCCGTGCCGCCGTTAAGACCCCTAAGGGCAGCCCGCTTTAACGAACCCAAATCTCCCGACCAACGAGCGGGAGGGTAGCTAACAAATTTTCAAATGTCTTGAACTTGTTCACTTTCCCCCGCGTTATTGTTTGCCTCTCTAAGTAATTTTACTCTCGAGCCTTCTCACCCCCCTCCCTCCATTGCCCTCATCTCGTCCACAGTTTTGAAGCTGTTGTTCTTGGTCAATTTCAAACTAAGAATTCATTTTCTTTTTATTTTGTTTAAAATTCAGTGACAATTGCTGATTGGATTTCCACTCAGGCCATGTCCTCTTTTAGCTGTTTATTGCCTTGGTTCCCTGTGTAATCTTCATCAGGCTTTTGTATTACTGTAAATTTATTGAGCTGCAACTCATTGGTGGGAGACTATCATTGATTGTCAGAATTGGTTGATTCAAGAATTGAGTTGGCAGGAGTGTTGAGTTATTGAGTGTTCCTGTGCTGCTCTTGGAGCAAATGCATGCATTGGTCCACCATCACTCCAACAATGTAAAACTGTAAAACAATTTTGACTGCATTGAGAGAGGAGCAGAAGGCTTCATTTCTGTTCAGTCACCCATGCATGAAAAACTGCTATTTTGCAAAAGGGCAATGTGCAATGAACAAGTGACTCAAGGAATTGATTTCATGTTGTTTTTTGGCCATATGATAATAACATGATATTCCTGTGAAATGAACCTTGAAGATCCTTGACCAACTTAGCTTTGTAGTTTGACCCTTTGTGCCAGAAATTACTGAAAAGTTTTACATATAATTTTTTCTGGAGTCAGCTGTAACCTTCGATCCAAGCTTATCCTGGTTTTGCTACTTGATAAGAGCACCATTCAAGCAATGATTATGGTTTCAGAGTGAAACTACCTTTCCAAAGCTCTGCTACATATGCTATGAAAGGCATTTTCACTGCAAAACTAATTTTACCCAAGGGGTTGAGTCAAATTATAGTTATAAAAAAAAAATCTTCACATACTCAAATTTTTACTTGGATGCCTTATGGATCTTCAGTCCAATCCTGGTTATCATCTATGTTTGTGACATGAGTTGCTTTTGGGTAGTATTTTGAGATCAGTCAATATGTGGATTTTGCTGAAGTAGCTTTGTTAATGGAAAATTAAGAAGATGAGTAAAATGCAAAGGGAAAATCTTTCTTATATACAAAATGGAAATAGTGGTAAATGAGAGTCAGCTTTGGTAAATTTAAGCTATTATATAGAGTGACCATTTGAGAAGATTGGTTACTTTAAAAAGCTTGAAGTGTAAAATCAAACTGACGGAATAGCCCAGAACTTGGTTGTTTTGGGGTCTTTCTGGAGATTTGGTTAGTTGTCAGTTTTATTGATGTTTCTCTATTTTCATCCAATTGCGTACATTCTTGAACAGTTACCTTATGATAATATAATGGGTCATATATGAGTCCTTCTCAACTGGAGGCTTATGTAGCAGTTGAGCAGAGCAGTTTGGGTACATAATATCATGTCAACAAACATGCCTCCCTGGTTATGTGCTTTGAATGAATATTCACCTAGTTCAAATACTTTAACCATGAATGTCCTTTATGTATAGTTTCATATATGCAAGGTGATTTTATTGGAAGTATCCCATTTCAGAGCACTGTAACACTAGAACTCTGAGGTCTAATATGGTATCATCACATGGATATGAGAAGTGATGTGGGGAATCATTTGTAGCAATTGCCTACTATTGCCACCAGAGGCATCACTCTTGTAATTTGCACAGATCATTTGTATAGCAAAACATTTTTATCTATCCACTTTTCACTCATGTCAGCTTAATGATTTATAATGGTCTCTAAAGTGGTAATAGCAGTATATATATTTTTATTTTTCCTATGGCATTTCTGGGTAATATACAATCTGTGTACCACTGTGGGAAGACTTTGATAAGTGCTGCAGGTTATTCCCCATGTCTCTTGTACTTGTGTAATGGCACCAAGTACTGTAATGCTCTGAACTGGGATACATAATCATCACCCTGGATTAACTGTTTTATGGGGACACCTATCATTTAATGTTTTGACAGTTGTGCAAACCTCCCCCCTGGATATGTGGAGGATACAAAAAATACTCCCCCATTAAAGGGTTAATATTTGAATAAAAAATTTAAATATATTTGGCATGTTTAAACTGTCATCTATAATATTTCATTAGGGCACATCATTTTTGCAAAATAAATGGTGATAGTAAAAAGCTTTGCCATCTGGTTGTCTTCAAGGGCAACTTAATTGCCCTTGAGAACTTTCAGTTTCATGTAACCAACGTTATCTTTCAGATGTGTTGTTTTGCTCCCATAGGTGCTGTCAGAGACACAGAAGCTGTTCTTGAGGCTTGCAGCCCTATCTGCCTCTTGAATTAGTGTTGGCTTCAGGTGTTGTGATTGAACATATAATCATCAGAACATGGAAATGCAGGAGATCACATTTGGTCTGTCAGGAGAGGGAGAGAGTAACTCAGTGGCTGTTTATGGGAAGGAGGTTATCATTCACTGTGGTATACCAACTCATACAAGTGGTAGCTCTCAAGTGAAGATTCGCACCATTGTCAAATACAACTGGGACCATCGAGCATATCATGGACGTGTTGTCACCACTGACCGGTCTAACACTTATGTTGCTTATGCCATCCAGCCCTATGGCAAGACTAGTGGGGCATTGCGTGTGATCAACATGGACACTGAGGACCGTGGCTTGATCAAAAACATCAGAGGGCAGATTCAAGACATGGATTTTGCTTGGAACCTCACCCACACACTTTTGGCTTCTGTGGACTCTTTTGGCCAGCTGTACGTGTATCGAATCATTCAGAAAGATGACAAAGTTCTTTGTGATATGGTGTTGCAGGTGAATCGAAGCGAGGTGATTTCCACAACTGAATACCATCGTGTTCTCTGGTGTCCATATTTGCCTGAAGATGAACCATCGAGTTCAAGATCAAATGGTGATGCATCCAAGCTTTTGCTTGTCACTCATAATGAGGTGTTGGAGATATGGGACTTGGATGCAGTTGTTGATGCTTATGGGAATGGACCTCTGAATATTGATCAGGTTTCTTATGGTCGACTTACCATTGTGCAGCATTCAGAGCCTATTATAGAAGCAGCCTTCTCACCCGATGGCTCTGCCCTTGCCACTGCTAGTTTAGATGGCAAAGTAGAGTTCTTTGAAGTTAACTTGCCACTTGAAAAGGAAACTAAGGCTCTTCATTGCTGGCAGCCCCATGAAGGCCGTCCTATATCGTGCCTACGATTTCTTGATGATCGAAAAAATACCCAAGCCATTGATCTGAAGTTCTGGAAATTTGCTCTCACTGGCTGTGATGGAAACAAGGAGCTGAAAATCTGGTCCTGTGAAACATGGGAGTGTATGCAGAAAATCACATTTCGTCCAGAGGACAAGGTAGATCAAGTCATACTCCGAGTTGAACTGGATTTAAGTTCTAATTTTCTTGTCCTGTCTGACATCAGCCGTAGAATGCTCTATGTTCTGAGCCTTTACCAGGATCCCATTGGTTCTACCAATCAGATTGTATCCATTTCTGAGTTGCCTATTTCATCTCCTATACTGAGTTTTGATATCATTGAAGCTGGGGTGCGGCGCATCCGCTATGAATCAAATGGTGATGAAGATGAAGAGGAGGAAGAATTGAAAAACCTTGAGCAACTTGTGATTCGGCTATATGCTATTCAACCAAAGGCCATGCAAGAATGCACATTAATATTCAAACCTGAATCATCAGCCCCATGTCCACCAGCTACATCTAGTCTCCCTACTGTTTCATTTGGTGATTCAGGCTCTTTCTTCCAAGACTCACTGCATGACCTTAGCAATACTTCAATGTCAAAGATTTCAGTGGAGAGCAAATATGATGAAACTGTCTCTGACAAGACATTGGGGAAAACAGACATTTATCCCAGTGTGAATTCAGATGCTTCAGACCTTGAAGTCCAACAGATCCTATCTTCCCAAACTCAGTTAGATGGCCAGGGCTCAGAAGATCAAGAAGCAATTGAAGATGATGAAGAAGGTGTTGTGGAGATGAATGGTATTGACGAATACATTGAGGTTACTACTAAAAAACAGCACTTTCCTGACCCTCCAATTGATCTGGTGATGATGGAGGGCACAAAAGAGGAATGGTCTGAAGAGGATGAGGGCAAGGATGTCCTTGTCGAACTGGATGACAAGGAAAATGAAGGTATTCATGCAAATAAGAGTGTGACTGCTGCATCTGTTTTCATGGGGCTAACTACTCCAGGAGGAGGAGATGCACCTAGACGAAGTTCCCTTCCCAATGAAGCTCCTTCAGTTGAATCCAAACTGGAAATCATCACAGCCTCTCTGAATCGAGTTGCCCACACACTTCAGTCACACACTGCCATGTTTGAGTCTTATAATTCGCAGTTGGAGAGCCTCAGATCAGAAATGCAGAAAGTGAATAATCCTATGAGCAAAAAGAAGGATCCGGTGATAGAAAAATTGGAGGAAATAAAAAAGTCTCAGCAGAAGCATCAAGATAAGATCATAAATGCATTTAAGCAGAATCTTTCTAGTCAGGTTGAACCTACAGTCAGCAAAGCCTTAACATCTTCTGTGGACACTGCAGTGAGGCCTATTAGGAATGACATTCAACAACATGTCTCCCGTGTCAGTGATTCCCTCAAGGAGCATATCACAAAGACTCTCCGGAGCCAGGCTCTGGTTGATCCAATCACCAAACCTTTGAGCAATGCATTGAGTGGAGCTATTAGGTCATCTTTTAAAGAAGTAGTGTCCCATGAGCTTGTCCCGAAGT